AAGAACCTATAAATGATCAAATAAAAATATTGGATATGTTAAAAAAAAAAAATAAGAAAGTAGAGATTTTTTTTTTATTCAAATAACTGAAGAGTCTTTTATAACAGCGTCTTGTAATTACACATTTACATTCCGAATGGAATAATGCACTGATGACTTTGGTAATGTTTCCCATTGGTAAGTAGGCAATCAGAATGTCTATGTCTTTTCTTAATCGATAGATAGCTATCTCAAGAATTGGCGTGAATGCTAAGAACTCGAATTCTCTCTCAACAATCTCCCATCGGGAGTCAGAAATCCGTAACGAACTGTGATTCTTTTCCGAGCCGATTACTGAAAGCTTCGTGAATCGTTTTTCATCTCCCACTGCATTGTCATGGGAAAAAATTCTCAAACTAGCCAGACACGTTTACAAGACAGACTAATTGATGCTGTAGATTTTCTCTTGATTGATGAACCATCCTCCTCTACCAATTTATAAATAAAATATGCCAATTATTGATGCTTACAATAATTAATTAGACTTATTACCAATTTTATAGTTTGTTTATTTAGTTTTTACATTACATACAACTCAACAAGGAGATAATTGTTTGTGTAGAATATTAATGAATACAACGATACATTCAATTACATGGCATTTACTTTTCAATCAATTAGTGAAACGTATTCACTTGGAGAAGATCATGTGGTACTTCACTGTTTCCCAATAGTTTAAAAGCATAGCTCATGTAGGAATGGTATTATTCATTTTTCTTTCTTTGATGCTAGAATTGAAGTTAATTTTTAATTTTAGAAAAAAAAGAAGGCATTAAAGTAGTCCAGGAATTTCTGAATTTAATTAAAATACTGATTAGGAGCCAAAACAAGATAGTGGTTAGAGAAAATTAAGGCATTGACTGAGCTTTGAGTGATCAAAGTCATGGTACTGTAACTTCAATTTTATCATTAAAGTTTGACTTCACCAATGAATCCTAACTTTATCTTCAAATTAAAATTGGTTATTAAATTTCACTTTTCTGATGTCATCAGTGTTTTTAAACAATTTTCATTACCAACGACATTGCTTGCTCCAATTTCAAAACAATTTTCAACCTCGAAGCACATCAATTATTGTTGTCACTATTATTACCTAATAGCAGCCTCTTAAATTTCAAAAAAAGATTAATGTGTTCCCTGTCTTAGTATTGAGCAAACTGACCAGAGACTCATCAATACCTTGATTTAATTTAACTTTAGAAATGATGGCAAGAGCACAGCATGACAGACAATATCGATATCGATATCATCAAGATAATCGATTCTTCATAATGCTTTAATCTATATATCTATATAAATGTCAATAAATCAGACGTTTGATACATGAGAAAGAGAAAGTACTAGTGAAAACATCTTGAAAAAGGCTTTTTTTCTCTCTTACATTCCAATCCACCATCTCACTCCACTCTATTCTTTGGATCGAAGGGAAGTTTAATTATCCCCTAGCCAGTTCTCTACTCATGGACACTAGTGTGCACACATTTTCACTCATTCTCCTTTCCATCTTTTCTTTCCTCTTGTGACGTACGAGAAAAGATAGATGAAGTGGTTGTTTTATTTCCGTTTACACCCTTCTTTGCTTCTCAAATCTACCTACTTGACCTGGCCTACAACGTTTACCCTTTTAGAGAGACTCCTGCTCTCTCTGTTTAAAGAGCAAAATGAGAGCAAGAGGGTTAGAAAAAGAGAGGTCTCAGCAATTCTTTGTATGACCCCAGGACTTTTGAGCTGCCCTTGGCACGCACTGAACTCCGGAGGCCATGAGTTTCGAGGAGAAAATTCGCGAGGCTGTCTCCACTTTCTTTGATGTCGCTAAACAGAAAATGTTCCTGGTATTCAACGTAGAATATTCCACGTCTTTTACTCAAGATAAAAGAAACTAAAGGGAGAGAATACTCCTTGCGTATCGGAATCTTTTCGGTTTTATCTAAAATCTCTTTGCGGTTGTCAGTACTCTAGCTAGTTTCTTTTATTCTTTATATTCTCCTCTATGTATTTTCTGCAACAGCTTGACAACGTCTTAACCTCCGATCATATCAGCCATCTTTGAAGATACTATCGTCAATGCTATTTTTCTATTACCAAGCTCATTATTTCGAGTCAATAGTTTGGTTAATTAAATTCTCACTCACACTAATATTTATTCTCTTCTCTCTATTTATTTATTTTAGTTCCATCATTAAGGTATTTCAATTGAGGTCAATTTTTTTTTCTACACCAACACTAAAGATTATTAAAAAATAAAACGTTTGTTTTAATAAAAAACAAATCAATTAATCGTTGCTAAAATAAAATAAATTATTAATAATTTTAACCTAAACTCACCTATAAAATAGGCATTAACCTAATTTTTTTTTAATCTCTTCATCCCTGATAGACAAGAGTTTTATTTTGAGCTCAACATGTATGTATTACAACATATTGAGCTCGAATTGATGTCAAAATACAACTCTGTCTATCGGGGATGTTTTTTAAAATAATAAAAGACAAATTAATCAACATGCAAAAAGCTAGTGTTTATATTTAATAAAAAATATTAATTCTATTTCAAAGGGCCCTGGGCCTTTTTTTGATACGACCCCGAAGGAAATCGAAATACTTGCAATAAAAAATATTATTAAATGAAAATAACTAATACAAATGTTACCTATGTCAGAGTACATATTAATCCAATGAATGATTATATCCTTTATCCATGTACGTACAAGCAATTTACCATCAGAAATATACATGGAATGAGTATGAATTAATTGTTGAGATTTAATGGAGAGAAATTAAATTTATAATGAAAGCAAATGCTAAAGCGATACATTATAATCTCATGTAAATAAGTGACAAGACAGGGCGGAGACTGAAATTATATAGTGTGTCGTCTACAAAATGACACGCGCTGAATGCATAGCAAGCTTTAAAGCACATCCTCGGTATTCACCGCGACGATACCATGCGGCTTGTGTTTGCACTTTGTGAGAGAAGCTGTGCGCTTATTTTTCACCCTTGAGCATGCATACTACCCCTTCGTTTCTCCCTTGAGGACACGAGCGAACGAACAACGACGACAATAATGCTTTACTCGCTCTCTTGGTTTTACTTTGCTCCTCTCTAACGCGCTTCAAATAGTTTGTTTCTTCCCTCAGAACTAATTTTAAGAAAATTTCATATTCAGCTTTTCAATTATTTCGTTAACGTAGCGTTTGATGAAATTATTCATTTTTCATTTCAACAAGTAGTTGACTTTTTACAACTCATTTCCATCATTTCATTTTAAATTTTATGATGATTATTTTTTTTTTTTTGAGATTTCTTTATTATCACTGTAGTCATAAACATCAAGCAAACGTTAAAAAATGTCTTCCATCATTATTATGATTACAATTTATTTGATTTTTTGTTATAGCTTTATTGTTGTCGTTATTTTGAATTATTTGATGGATCTCCACACATGTGATATTCTTTTGCTGCCTACGTTCAAATTATATAACTGAATGTCACAAAAGATCACACGTGTGTAAAGTACGTAGTGTGATGTGTTCACCAAACCATAAATAAGAACCTCTTCTTCCTGCAAGTTCTCGCCCTTTTTCAACCACCTACCTCTCAACCTTTCTTAACGATTTCCAAAATAACTTAATTCCAAGGATTCTATTGTTAACATATTATTACCAACAATACCAAAGAATCTTTTCGCATACTTGCACCATACTCTAGTGTATTCAATAAAAAAGTTTGAATTTTTATTCGAAATATTTTGTTCGAATAACTTAAATGACGCATATATAACTTTCAAGTACACAAATTTTATTTATTTACTTTTTAAAAAAATATTTAGAACTACAGTAAATAGATGTTACATAAAATGATTGTTGGTTAAATTGACAATTTTATTTAATTGATATTCCGATGAGGTGATCAAAGCTGAGTAAAAATCAATAATAATTCCAACACCTCACATCATGCTTTTGATCAATATTTTTTTTTTTTGTAAATCGAAAATTATGTATATATTATTGTCCGTTAGATATGCATATAGTTAAGTTTATTACACTGTAAATATTGATTTTGGTGTGATAATATAATAACCCATAGCAATTTAATTTTCATTTATTCCAAAATGTGAAAATTTCATTGACTATTCCAATGTTACGGTGGATTACTGCCTTAGTGATTAATTAAGTATTTTTTGAAGCATTAAAATCATAGTTTAACTCACATGATAAGTCATTACCTGATGGAAAAAGTTACCTGCATTAATTATAAATTTAAAAATTAATGGATATTAAATTAATTACTGATATAAAAACTATGATTTACACTTAGACACTAGTGGTTTAATATCGTTCGATATCAGTAGTTATTAATATCATTAAAATAGATTATAATAATTTAATTAATGTCTTGATGAGCAGTTCAGTAGTTGGTTTTTAAACGTGAAAAATAATGATTAAAATTGATGATCGATAAACAGGTTAAATCAAAATTCTATCAGCTAACCTGCCTCTCATTGATCCAAACTAAAATAAAACAATAAATTCACAGCGGTAACATTTTAATGGAAAAGGTATATATGCGTGTAATAAATTCACATCAAGTAATGAATGTCGCGGTTAGATATATTTTACATGTACATACACAACTATCACGACATCTTGCAGTCGAGATGATTGCCAGTGAGAAAGGACGTAGACTTCCGAGCCGGTTGTTACAACCCCAAGGATAGACGGACAGCATCGCCGTCGCTTTCAAGAGTTACAGCAGGGGTAGTAGTCGTAGCAGGACAAGAGAATAACAGGAGCTAGCGGGAATGGTTGTAGAGAAGAAGGCAGAGAGAGAGAATTGTAGACAGAGTAGAGACGAAGTAAGCGCACGCGTCAACCTTGCTAGTTCCTGATAGTGGTGGGGAAGTTCCAGTGTCACTTTGTGCCGGTCGTTGCGGCGCATCAGCTTTCAGTCTTTGATCCGCAGCCAGCGTGAGTGTTTGTAGTCCTCGGTAGTCTATTTCTCAAAAGGCTAAACCGTATGTTGAATCGTTTGTAGTGATTATACAAATTTTTCATAACACAAAATTACTATTAAATATTTATACAACGAATTATCACGCAAGGAATTTATCAAAATATTTGTTTTTGTTGATTGTTTTGGAGGATGAATTGTTAGATAAAGTAAACACAACATTAGTTTTTGGTACAGGAATAATATTAAGTGAAAATATACAACATTGCTGTATCAAAATAATTGAGATAAATAATGTGGAGTTGATTGAATAGGTGAATTGGAGTTGGAACTTTGTTGGGTCAAGAGTAAAAAAAACAAAGGATTAAGACAACAACAGCAGCAGCAGCAGTGTTTGTTATCGGATCGTCTACCTTGGCATCGAATATTTCCGGTGTAAGTGCACGTACTGAGAGAACAAGTTGCGCGGATTTCTATCGCGTCGCAGCCTTGTGACCCAATTAGATTTACCCAGCATCCTACGGGAACTCCTGGTTTAATCGTTGGCGACACTCTCAAGTCCGATTACCCGTTACCTCGTGGAAATTGAGTTTCTCCGAGCGACCTTAGAGCTTAAGCAGTTGCTAATACGGAAAAGGGTCCAACTAAAAAGAATACTCACTCGACCTGTATGATGCTTATAGGTCGTTGAACGCAAGTGACAATAGAAATTTAGAGAATAATAGTGGAATTGAGTCGTGGAGATAGGGGGATTTAAAAATCCTAGAGTGTTGAGTGGCCTCAAGTAAGATATCGGTCGCCAGAGTACGATTCAAACTTAGTTGCTGGCGTTGACAGATCGATACGGAAGTTTGAATCCTCACAAAGTTTCATCTCCCATTTCTCTCTCAGTGTTTCTGCACTGTCTGGAGTTCAAACTTGTGTGTCAGTGACTTTTTTGTCGGCTTCAAAGGAACGTCTGTCACTTGAGTGGATTTATTTCAATAATTGTGTGAAAAAAAAAGAAAAAGAGTGAACGTGACATTTAAGTGAAGTGGTGAAAGCAAGTGAAGATTGATATACGCGAGTGTGTTGTTTTTAATTAATATCAAATTGATGAACCATCAGAACTCTGACGTCTTTTCGTGCAAACAAACATAACATCTTCCCATTCTCCCTGTCGACTAGACGTAAATCTGATCCAACTAAGAAAAAGGAACGTTACGAAGACATTGTGCTGTCGTCACCGCAGGGTCTTTTGCCCGTGCGGTTGGGTGACAGCAATCGTAAAAAGCGTTCGCCCTGTGGGGGCGCCAACACTGGCACGGTGAAGGGCAACGGTGGCTTTGGTGATTATTCTGCGGCGGGGGAATTTGAAGTTTGGGGTGAAGAACATCGCGCACCGGATGGTGAAGACCACCAGGTAATTGGACCGCCAACACGCGGGCTTCTGCCATCGCAGGCCCAGCAACAACAACAACAACAACGATGCAACGACGCCAATGGTTCGTCGTTAAGGCCTCTTCTGCACGTTGCACATTGTGAACTTCACTCTCCACGCGACGCTGAACTTCTCAGACTCGATCAACTCGAGAGCCTGGAAAGGAAATCGGCTGAGCGTGATCCTTACTTCATGATGGATAATTTCCATAGTCCAGTACCACCACCGTTACCTCGTCGACATGGCCGGTAAGAATTTTCAGACATGACATTTCAATTGTGACCCAAACGTCATCTAGATAATGGCATCGGTAATTGATTATTTAAGCTAATTCATGCTTTGGCTTTATGTCACCCATTAGCTTTATTCCCATTAGAATTTTCGCCTAATGATGCCGGGCTTCTAGTGGACTTTAAGAATAAGACGATAAGAGATAGATAATTAATGGATATGTCTTTGGTAGACAGGTAAATTGTTTTACTCTTTTTACGTGTTTTGGGCACATTATTTCTTCTCATATGTGAAAGAGTTTTTTAAAATTCTCAACACAAACTTTTTATTGATATTCTTTTTCATATACTTTCAATCTATTTCCCCTAAATTGCTTTTTTTTTCTAACTACAAATGATTAGACAGTGATGGTTACAAATTCATTAATAATACTTTTAAAGAGATTTTATTGATCTCATAACTTATTTAGTTTGGTTTATTCTATAAATGAAATTAGCTGAATCATTGTCATTCGAAATACAAAAGCTGTTGGTTAAAGGCGAAAAAAAAGTAAAAGTATCGAATATTGTCATTAAAGTGCCAATCATTGTCGAGTTTGCCCCGCTGTCAATTAAGAATCAAAACAACATTTATTAATAAACCCCAGTGTCAAAGGTGAACATGACAGAAGATAAATGTAATTTAAAGTAGAGAAAAAATAACCAGCATAATGTATGATATTTTAATAGTTTTAATAAGAGTCACAGTAGACAGTATCTCACATTGATTAATAAAAAATCGTCTGTTAAAGACACAAAGCAAACAATTTGTATTCTACGGTACGTTTTTATCTTTAAAACCTTACACAAAGGGTACTTGAATGAAATATATTTTTGATATATGACTAACTCATTTTACGTAGGGAAATTTCATAGATCGCAGGGTGAATGCTCTCTTCTCTCCTCATTCTCTTTCTCTCCCTATATCGCTTTTATGTTAATCTAGAAAGGTTTGCGTTAGAATTCGAAGAACGCACACTTTCACCCTCGGTAAACGATCGAAGCACACTGGGGGTAATTCAAACAGAGGAGGGTATCCGATGAATATGCATAGAGAGAAATGGAAGAACATCCGTGAATTCTTATCTCAACGAGCCATTCCCAGTGTAGTTTTCAGTGAGAGAAACTTTTACCCAAAAGGGTTGAAAGAGTGAATAACCAGAGAATGACATTTAGACCAGGGACACGACGTATATAGAGCTTGTTGGAAGTAGATTACTGTCACTACTGCATGTTTAAGAGGAGCCCAAGTTAAGACAGAAACTAACTCTTTAGTTCCGCGAACAAATTAATGGCAAGTCGACGCGTAAATACTGCCAGGAAATTGTTGACTTCAAGGGATGGCAGTTAATTGACCCCGATTACATGAGGTTCACTAATTGGACGAATCTAAAGTAATAAATAAAATGCAGTCTGAAAAGCCGACATGGTTAAAAAGATTCAAGATCAAACATATGTTCAGGGGGAAGATATTCATGGAAATCTTCAAGCTGCCACAAACATCTCCAATGTGAATGCACGAAAATCAATCGAAATTCTTGTATAAATCCCACTGTGTGTAGGTCACAAACTTTTGCAAAAGAAGTAGAGCATATATAACTGATCTCAGAGGCAAAGCTTCAAGGGAACGAAGCAAAAATCGGTCTTGTGTATGCAGTCAAATATTTCTGTACATAAGGAAACTTCTATTGAAGATTTATTATTGGTGGTTCAAAGCTTCTTTGCTATATTCTTTCATGGATTGTCTTTACGTTCCAATATGCAAAAGCAGTTCTCTTGAATTAAACTGAAACATATACAACACAATACATGAATATATATTTGCTTACAAGCAAGGTTTGCTTTTTTATTTCTCCAGTTATTTTCTTTTTCAACAAATGCAATCATTTTATATTGTTCTCGAAAAAATTAAAAATTATTGGAGCAAGTTGATGAAGGTATTTCTAATATACAAAGGATTATTCTTTTTTTTATTTCAATCATGAAATTGAAAGAATCTTTAATTTTTTTATTGTGTTACATAGTCTTTGAAATTGTCAATGAATAAATATCAAATATGCATGAAACGAAAAATGATACTTTCCTACTTGCTGAACCCTTGCAAAAAAAGATTGGCCTTCTTTTATGTTAATTTTTTTGGAGCTAACTCTTGGGGGTTAATATTAAAAATCTCAAAATCTTCATGAGTTAAATCAAAATGTTATTTATTAAAATTTATTTCATTTTATTAAAAATTTTTTTATTTATCAACAATTTATTCCAAATAATCTGAATAAAATTCACCCAAATAATAATCAAAAGATTGTTCTTTATAATAAATGTTAATTCCTTCAACCTCAAGAATTAAATTTTATTCTCTCGATGTATTCGATTTTTTTTGTTATTTTACTTTTGTATTGATGTTTAATTACTAACCTACAGACTGGTTTATTTTTTCCAAAATACTCGACACATTCAATATTTGTTTAAATAAAAAAAAACCCTGTGAGGCCATTAATGCAGGTATTGCTTATTGAATTCGTTAAAAGTATTTAATTTAAATATTGCAATGTTTCGTTTATTTATTTATTTACCTATCGATTTTTTTTTTAGTAAAAAAGATAAATAGGAAAGTTTGGATACACATGCATTAGGTTAGATTGCATTAGAAACATAAACGGAAGTAAGTTTGTATATGTCACATGCCTACAGAACGTTTTAAGTGCATGAAAAGTTATAGGAAAGAGTAAGAGAGAAAGAGAGAGAAAGAGAATGGGCAAGTTTGGCGCCGACGATTTGCGGTGAAGCAAAGCGACCCTGTGACTATGCATCACACTGTCTCGACCGGCAACTATAACCTATCCCAAAATCTCAGCTTTGGTTCGCTGTAACTCTGCCTATCTTTATCTCTCCTACACCTTTACTCCCTCTGTATATATTCTGCTGCTATACTATTATATGTCTGGTTCTTCTTCGTTTCCACTCGTATCCGTTTGTTCCGCTTCGCGCATCCGGTACTACAGTTGCGAATTTCTACAATGCATATATATATTCCTCTATCTCTGCTTCTGTCGGTTACTATCGTATTTTGTTTCACTTTCAGCAAATGTTTTTTTTTCTTTTTTTACATACTATTTTGTTGATATCTCTAAATATATATTGCCGAGGTATTATGTAGACTGTTGGAAATATTTTACAATTAAAGTCAGAGATGAAAAAGACTCCAAAACAAACGTTTACTTTTATTAAATGATAATAGAAAAATTTTCAATTGTTTAAAAAAAACTTTTTTGTCAATATTACAATTGAATTGATTAACTTTGAACAATTGTCAAATGTACGTCAGAAATATTTCATCAACTTTGCTTTTTATCAAAATAATTCTTTTTTTATAAAATATATATATGCAATCAATTTTTTTTTGTTTTTTATTCAAATTATTGTAAAAAGCTACTTATTTTTTTCAACTTTTCATCAGTTTGAAAATAATGAATCAACTTTATTGAAAATAATATTCTAATCTTTTCAAAAATTTATTATAGAATAAAATTGAATGAAAGCTTAAATTTAAAAAACATAAATTATTTTCGAAAAATTGTAAATATTTTAATAACATTGTTAAGAAGGATTATTTTTAATATCAAATATTCCCTCTTACTTTGGAATATTTTGGTTAATATGATAACGTTTTTCGATAGAAAAGAATTAAATCAATAATAGAAAACTAGACTACTCAAGATAAAAAGAAAAGTTTCTCCATATAATAGAAAAAGACTTAAATTTCGAGTTTAATCCACGATCACGTACTGCAGACGAGTTAGAGCGAGTATTGGGCAATTGATAGGTAGTCACGCCGAGGTTGACCTCAAGGGACATCAGTTTGAACAGTGCATGGTCCCTCACAATGTCTCTTCGTCTTTCCAATCTCCTCTTTTTTTTTTCAATACTCTCCCTCTCCTGCAATGTCTTTTTCGATCCACTCGCCTCGACGACGAAACTCGCTACCAAACCATAGCTCCTGTTTTCTTCGTATCTTTTATCCTCTCTCTTCCTCTCCACCCTCCTCCCCTTTTATGTAAGCTCATCCACGTACTATACTTTCTTCTTGGCACGTCGGCATACCTCGACTATGCTGCAGATTAGATATCGCACTTCTACTTTCAACATTTCCACCACTCGCCTTTTCACCATCCTCTCCCTCTTTTGTTCTTTGTTCTCACTGTGACTTTGTCATTTTCTCTATCGAAAAGTACATCGTTTCGTGTCGTTCAAAGATTTTCGCTCCTTAGTCACCAGCTCTTATTGCAAAGAGAGAAAATAAATATGATGGAGATGCTTGAGCTTTAATTTCTTGTTGGGGTTATTTGTTGGATATTCATCTTTCTATGACTCTCAATAACAAAACTTTTTCTAATTATGTACTGCTTTTTTTCCCCCCCATCTCGAGTTCACTTTAGAATGGTTTATGAGTCTTGAAACTAACCTGATAATTATACTGACATGAATATAGTCATTAAAAATAATTTCTTAATTAATGCAGTTGAACTTGTTTGTGAGGGGAATGAATGGAAATATTTAATTTCATGATGATTTGACGAATTTAATAAATTATGTAAATGATAGTAATAATTTTTCAATCTTGATTTTTACTACTGGTACCGAGTTATTTCCTGAAATGACCAATTTTTATTTCAACTTAACGTACGTGCTTTATCTAGAATTCATATCATTTTCATCGTTGAAATAAAAAGGAAATAACGTGGTAACTGCATCAAAAATTATTCAAGAATATAAATAACTTGAAAAATTTTTATTTTGTTCTCAAACATAATAAATCCAACAAAAACATTACATTAACAAAATGACTTTAATTTTAAATTGAAATTTTATTAATAATTAATAAAATATTTCTCAGTACTTTAATAAACTTGTAAAAAAAAATCATTCTGTGTAACTCTTTGCAATAATTTTTGTTTAAATTTCTCTTTTGTTGGAGAAAA